TCGGCAGTCCTGCTGTGTATACCTTTGATGGCTGGCATGGATTCAAATCAGTGAAGGTGTTTCACATGGAAATTCTGTTTCATCCACATGGAGAAGGCTAAGGATAAATGAATATGATGCCTAAAATGAAAGTCATCACACAGCACTACACAAGTATCCAAAGCTAATTCACTTGGAACATTCCCTTTCTATACTTAACCCCATAGAACTCTTCTTTCTCCATCACTGTTTTTCTCAGTTTCTTATTTTCTTTCTTCTTTAAAGAGAAAACTTCATCTGATCTGGCAGAGAAAGCCAAACCTCTACAGTAAGTGTTTTGTATTCTGATGAAATATGCTCTCTTAGGGCAGCAAAGGGGACCTGGATGTACATGCAGAGTTATCTTGTTAAACTGTGACAATGCTTGGTAAGGGGAGAGCTTGGGAAAGGTCTTCCATCAAAGCCTGGGTGCACTTTCTCTCCTGAGTAGAGTCTGAGTCAGCAGAAGGGATCTTCTTCTCATTGCCCATTACAAAGGCTTGGGGGGATTAGTTAAGATTGCAGACCTTGCCCTTATCAGAGTGGTCAGAATACAAGTAAAGTTAGCCTCTTCTTTGTTTTACTAAATACAAAACCCTACCCCGAAGAAGGCAATAGGAGGCCCTTTGTGGTTTCCTGGCTTGGCCTGAGTTTTAAGATGTTTCTCTGCATTCATAATCCACTGCAGTCTGGAACTGTCTTACGTAGGCTTTCTTGCTTGCATTCAGGTAGAATTTGAGGCAGTGAGAGGAGGAAAGTGGAGATTTACTGTTAGCAGTCTAGCTAAGACTACTGAGGAGAAATTTTAGTTTTTCTTTTGTTTTTGTTTTACTTGGCCCAACACTCTCTGAATGGCCTTGGAGATAAAGCACAAAAGGGAAGACTAAGGCCAACTTGTTTAACTTTAAGATATTGGAATTATGGGATAGAATGGGCTTCTAAGAATGATCATATATGGAGCACTATAAAGGCCAACATAGAAATAAATACAAAATTGCACTGTAAAGAAAATAAAAACAGGCTATGAATTCATATGTATGATACGCCCTTCTTTTAAAAAAAAAAGTATGCATGCATGCATGCATATATTTTGAAATTGAAAAAGTTTGAAAAGAACTACATTGATTGAGGTTGTCCTGGAATGTGGGATTTGGGTAGTTTATATTTTTTCCCATTTCTTATTTATATTTACTTTTAGGATTTTCAGGCTTTCCTTTTTTTTTTTTTTAATTAAAGGCCAAGAAAGCAAGGTATCACAGTTGGACAGCCAAGGTTTCCAAAGTCAGAAAGCTCCAGCCTGGTGCTTAGGAATCTGGGGCAAACCTCTCCCTGTTCTCGCCCTCAGGTTCCCACTTAGAAAACATGTATGACAACAACACCTCACAGGGACATTGTGTGAATTTCATCACCTGAAATGCATGATACTGCTTTGTCAAAGTAAATTCCTCTATGAATATGAAATTGTATTTTCTAGTAATTTACCTCTTTCTCTTCTGTGAAAACAGAGTCCTTTCATCAGAATTCCCATGGCTAGAGGGGTAGAATAGTATCCTCCCCATAAAACTGGTCACCCACTATCTTCATCATGGTGCTGGTGTGGCATGTACGTGTGAAAGAAAGATCTTCCTAGACGTCTAATCAGAGCAGAATGTGAAATGTGTAGAAAGTGCTCCAAGATAGGATTGTGACTGCAAAAGGAAACACCCTGAAATTTAAACCCCATCCTGTTGTGTAGGACCAAGGAGATGAGCCATGGAACTAGCCTGGATCTGTTTGCTCATTCAATAAAAGACTCACTGGGTTAGTTCAAGGTGTATGGGAGAGTGACCATGCAGTCCTTGGCAGAGGGCTTGCATGGAAGAAATGCTTGCTGCATTACAGCTGCTGCTGTTACCCATCCACTGTGAGTCCCTGCTCATGACATTCAGTGTAGATCCATGGTTATCATTGTTTTTATGCACTATTCAGTAATAATAGGAGCAGTTATACTGTGGATCCATAGTAGGTGTTTGGCATGAGGAGATAACCCCCTATGTGCTTCATTGTTTTGATGTTTTCTCATCTTCTTAGGGTTTGAGATGCAACATAGTTAGTGGTTTCTGGGCATTATTATTCCCTGACCGAGAGTATTGTTTTTCTAACCCAAGAAATAGGGAAGAAGATTAGATGGAGAATGGATATTTCAGCATTAAATAAATAAAGCTGTTGTCAAAATTCTTGGCCCACATAATGCTGCAGATCTTGTGATCTATTTTTCAACTTGGCCCTTACCGCTAAAGTTAGGAGCCCTGTGATTTCTTGGAAATTTCCTAGTTACAATAAAGCAGCATGGAGAATCATAAGAGACCCAGCTTTGAAGCTGAAAGATCTGTTTGGATCTTGGGTGCAAAACCCTTTAGTGATATGTTCCTGTGAGCACCTTTAGTGATAGGTAATCCTATCTCATCTGCAATAAAAATGAGAAATGATATATTTAAAGAGTCATATATAATCCCTATGATAATAGGCACTTTATATATATATAATATATTTATATTATTTTTAATAATTTATATATAATATAAAAATATAATATAATATAATATATATATTATTTTTTAATACTACTCCTTCACCTCATGAAATTCAGAACATTGGGAATGATTATCTTTCAGCATCCTCTGCTAGACAAACAGCCCCTACTGTTAAGCTATATTCTGAGCACCATAGTAAGAGGGGTTAATAAGTTGGAAATGTCCAAGGAGATGAGAGCAGCCAAAGCTGAGTAGTACCATGGCTAACATAAGGATGTTTCGTTGGATACTTTCAGAAGGTAACATTTTTATAAATGATAGTCATAAGATTAAAAACATCAGTTAATATTATTAACCATTATATGCCACACCTTGTTCTAAATTTGTTGGATGTAGTAAATTTGTTCATTCTCCCTCTAATTTTTGGAGGCCTAATATTATCCCCATTTTACAGAGAAGGAAAGAATCACAGAAAAGTTTTAACAACTTCCCTAGGTGTCCTATTTGAGAACAAGAAATCAAAACTGGGTCATGCAGAAATTCTGTCCGTGTTTTAACTCATTGTGAGATACCCACTGTCCTTATCGAATAGAACTGCCATGGGGAGTAGAATTTAGCCATGTTGTGTTACTTGAAGGAGGTCAAAATTGGGCAAATAGCAACTTTAGAGGCAGTTCATTTCAAACAGCAGTGATTCAGATTGGCTTTCACGTGAGTTACTGAAAGTAAGCAGTTGTTGGAAATCCATCAACAAGGAAGAGAGGGGATTCTAGTGTCAGGAAAAGAATGACACCAAATAAATTCTAAGTTTTCTAACAAATGTTAATTTCACCTGTGCCTAGCACATTGTAGTTGTATGATAAGAAGTTGAATAAATGGATAAGTGAATTACTTCAATAATTCCATATATACATGAGATCAAAGACTTACCTAATACTCGCAATGCAACAATGACCTTTTCTTCCACAAAGCTATAATGCCTAGTGATTTTAGATATGTCAATCAACAATAAAGGTTATTCTTACATAATAATTTTATATTTGACCATTTTCTTTACTATAATTAGATTTAAAGATCTTTTCCTGTGAGAGATAATGCTTTACCAGTGTAAAGCAAAGTGAATATTAGGAATCCCTTAATATGATATTAAATAATAGAGTCAGTAGAAATAGAATTCATTTCCAAGTGAATATTCTAGATACTACTATGATGTCCTGGTAAGAAATTCATCCTGAACCATTCCTTTATTCATTCACTCATTTACTAAACATTGGTGATTTTCCTGAAATTCACCCTGACAGTGTACCAAGTCCTGCACAAAGAAGACTGAGAATGTCTTTCTTTAAATAGGGAAACCTGTAGTGGAGAAAGTACAGGTAATTCTGCGAACTCCAAAAGAGTTTAGCTTTGGAGGCAGTGAAAACTGCAAGAGAACTCTAAGCCAAAGGGATTGGATATTCACAGTTCTGGAGGAAATTGCAAGGCCATGCAGGGAGGCATTTGTTGAGTCATTAAATATAATTCATCAGGGTCAGCATCTCCTTGCCCAGTGGATCTCCACATGTGGCCTCCACAACAGCAGCTTCAGCATCATTTGGAAACGGGTTAGAAATGTACAACTCTCAGGCCCAACTGTCCTTCTGACTTGGAAACTGTAGCTGGAGCGCAGCCCTCTGTATTTACAGAAGTCCTCCAAAGCATTCTAATGCATGCATAAAGTTGTTGTCTTCTCTGAAACTAGGGACCCAGATAAAATTAAGGCAAATAAATCAAGCTAACACACACAAATGTAACCCCACACACACACAACCCAAGTGGGATTCTAGGTTAATAGTGGGAGAAAATTATTTCTCAGAAACTGTAAAAGCTCTTCTTACCACAGATCATTCATGACATTCCTCCCACCTTGGGAAGGGCAAACGGCCCCAGAGGTTGGCATCTAGAACAACACACACATTAAGAGGCTTAAATAACTTCTCATAATAATTAGAAACAAGAATTGTCTCCTGATTCCCATTGTCATAGAAGTTGATGGCAATCTGTGGCTGATTCCCATGGAACATTCAGAAGTGGAGATCCAGGCCTGCTTAATGGGTCTCCAAGAGCAGCCCTAAAACTTGGACTGTGAGTCTGTGGATGAACCAAGGAAATACAAAGTGAAAAGAAGCATGGGTATTTATTTTCCTAACTTGTCAATTGCAAACAGAATTTTGTTTAATAAACCATAAAATGATTCACAGAGGTCTCTGTGTATTATTCTAAAGTACAGCTGGCTAAGGTAAAATAATCTTTACTCTTGGTTTTTCAGGCCAGATGCTATTCCCAGACATGCTCATTTTTTCTGTTTATTAGCAAGACCTCTGCTGTGATTCAGTATATTGGGAGCACCACTATCAAGGGGACACTCTAAACAAGAACCTGCCAGAGGAGGCTACTACTAATCTCGGGCTCTTTCCCTTATCTCCACAGCACCCAGCCTGGCTCAAGTCATCATCTGTATAAATAGAATCCTGCAGCAGTCTCCAAAGCAGTCCTTCAAGATTTTGCCATTGGTTATTTCCAATTCTTCTTGTACACTGAACCAGGGTGAGTTTTCTTAAAATGTATATTTGAGTATGCCAACTGCTTGCTTACAAGAATATCTTTAAAAACTTCCCAATGTAATTAAGATAAAATACACACTTCCTGAACATGGCCCTCCTTAGCTCTCAGTTTTGACTCTCGTTCTGACTCATTCTATTCCAGCTGTCATACTCTCCCTTCCTTCTCAATTCACAGCAGTTGTAATGTCTTCCCTGTTAGGATCTTTGCCTTTGCTGTTACCACTACTGTAGATGCTCTCTCACTTCTCTTCACCCAGCTATGTCCAATACATGCTCAAGGAACCCTTTTCCTAAACTCTATCATACTTCACGGACTGGATGAGGCATTCTCTTACATACTCACAATATTTCCTGGATGTTTTAGTAGAATCATTACCAAATTTCAAGAAAGTGATAGTCTGCTCTACCATACAAAGTTCTCTGGCCTCAAGGGACGCAAGATCACCAGAACAAAGACAATGACTGTTTTGCTCACTACTGCATTCTCAGTACCTGACTTGGTATATAGAATGGAGGATGTTTCAGTCCAGTATGTGTGGACTGACCCAAGGAATAAACAAAAGTCTCTCTAAGGATTTAGAATTTTGGGAGCAATTTAAATAAAGGAAGAAAGAGGTGGTATCCCTGGAAGAAGTCTTTCCGAAGCACTGAAACCCTTTGGAAAAGGTCACATTCAGGCAAATTTTGAGGTAGAAGATTTGTAACTTGGAGCCCCAGAAATCATCCTGACTTTGGAGTGCACACACATAAGACTCTCCTGGTGCTCAGCCCAGGAGTGCATCTTTCTAGGACAGAAAGAAGAACTCCAGCAGCATAATGAAGGCTTTTCCTACTTCCAGTCGGACACATTGCTGAAAGTCTTTAAAATTTACTAAATTAATTCCTATTTTCTGAGAGTTTAGCTACAGCAAAAAGATATTTTTTACCATAAGAATTTTAAGACATTGATTCACCTAATATTGTGCTTTTATTTTCCTCATAGACAGTCCCAATTATGGAGACTCTGAGTACCTGGGCAGCTCAGATTTTGAGTGAGCTAGAAGGATAGCGGAGACAGCCTAGGAAGGAGCTTTTCTTTGGACGTTCTCAAAGTTTCATTATGCTCCAGATCTTTTATCAGTTGTAAATTTTGCTAGAAGGAGATATCTATAAAGTCATCTTTCAAAGAATTATTACTGTTTCTAGCTAGAAAAGCTTCAAAACCACACCTTCTTTCAACACACACCAGCGCTTTCATGAATGTAGGGAGCGAGAGAGAGAGGAGAGAGAATCCATACTGAGACAAACATGTGCTGTACAACAAAGCCAAGTCAGCCTCTGTGCAGCACAAGCCACCCACAAGGTGCTAAAATAACGTGGTTTGAAACCATTTCATCCTGCACACATTCCAGAATCACCTGAAGGATGCCAGAGAGATGTCCCTTTGTATTTTCGCTCTTAGGGTTTATATCTAGACCGTCCCCTAAAGTCTCATGTGCTCTTAGGTGGAGCTTTTGGGAGGTGACTGGTTCATGGGTGTGAAACTCATTGCTGGATTAGTCTCCTGATGGCTTTATAGCTGGGAGTGACATTGGGAGATGAAGCTTGGAAGAGATAGGCCACTGTGGGTGTGGCCTGAAGGGTATAAATCCCTTGCCTTCCCTTGATCCCTCTGTTGCCTGCATGCCACGCCACCCTACCTTGGAACCAGCCAACGATAGACTGAAACCTCTACAAACTGTGAGTCAAAAATAAATACATAAAAAAATGAATAAATCTCTCCTGTAACTTGTTGGATGTCAGGTATTTTGCCCCAGCAACAAGAAAATGAACAAGACAATCTCCTAAAAAATATTTTGTGCTTTTTAACCTCGGTGTCGGAAATACCACCATTGAAAGATATTCCTTTGAATGTGCTATTAGCTTGTTCTGCATAGTCTCTGAAAATAGCAGTGTTCACAATTACAGAAAATTAAAAATCAGACGCCCTTAGTTCCTATTAGAAAGCCTAGCACACAGCAGTTACCCCGTAAATGCCAGCTGTTATTTTATTAACTAGAGGGATAGGACTATCGTTATAACTTTGGCTGCCCTTTAGAATAAAGAAGAGCTTTTCTAAAATACAGATGCCTGGGGCTCTTCCCCACATTCTAATTTCGCTGATGAGGAGAGGAGCCCAAAGTTTTCAGTTTTCTTATAGGCAGAAGACATTCGGGGTCACTATCACTTCCACGTAGTGAGTGACCACATTGCTGACTTGAAGAACATACTCGGCAAGAGTTGACCCTCAGCTTTCATAGAGAAGGGAAAGGAGAGAGGTTGTCTCACAATCAAGGTCTGAGATGAAAGAAGGACTTCCTCACCAGTATTATTCAGGAGTTCCGTCTTGCCCTCTGCTCTGGCTGTGGCTTCCCTGTTTACCATCACAGGAGAATATTAAAACTGTATAAATTATAAAGGAGATCTTTTGTCAAGGTGGATGACTAACATAATCCTTAATAGCTTTTACTTTGCAAAACAGACAAAATAGCATCCATGAAAGGGAAAATCTTCTTTTCTGTTAACTTATTCACCTTCATCTAATTTTTAAATATGTAATAAACATGATTGTAGGGCTTCTCATTAACTGGGGTATCTTATAGTCATAATTTTTGATACACAACATTACTTACCAATTAGCCTGTCTTGTTCGTTTAAATTTCTTCACTCATATTTTAATGGGAGCTAATGATGCCTTTGTTGACTTATTTAATGTTATGTAAATGTGGCTATAAACTGTGAAGGGTTTGAGCAGAAGCACTATTTTTGCTTAGTCTTCAGATTTTGGAGTGTGTAGAATCCCCAGGAAACACACATATCAACACAATGAATGTAAGCTACTGAGGAGGCCAAATAATAATAATAATTTTTTAAGCAGGCAATGAAAAATGTTTAGAGTATGCATTTAAAAATTGTTTTTGCTCTGGATTAGTTGTTTATTTGGATATTAAAGAAGTTGCAAAGTTAACTTCTAAACTGTGTTTCCTTTCCTGCTTTCTGCTTCCCTGAGCACAGGCGTAGGCCAGTCTAAAGTCATCTTCTAAACTCTGACCGGGGACAGCTGTATTTAACCATGGCTGTCTTACTTGGTTTTATGAGCCTTGTCCTCAGTAGAGTCTTCATGTAATGAGGACATAATAGGTAGCATATAAATATTTGAATGAATGAAAAGTTCATAATTTCAATATGTGCATAGATGGCCCTTCCAAAGCAGTGACTTGTTAATACTGTGAGATTTATTTCTCCAGGGCTTTCCAGTGTGCTACCCATGCCCAGCCACTCTTACCTTTGTCATATGTTAAACATTATATTTGGCAATAAATAAGCACTATCTTATTTCAGCTTCATTCCATTCCTTCCCTCACTCTCTTCTTATCATCATCTAATTCTCCAGCTTTCTTCCTCAAGTATCACATGCAGCCATCTTTCTACCATGTCTCAATTTCAAGCCATTACTCTTAAAACTTTTTCTAATTCTTCCAACTTCAAGTCCTTCCCTGTCTAGCTTCAGTTCCTTGATGAATCTTAATAATCAGTAATTAATACACATGCTTGAATCCTTTCCATTGGTTAAAGCACAATTTTGGTTTTTCTTTTTCACTCTATACTCCTCACATTCAGCTCAAAGTTGGTAGAGAAAATGTTCTTCCCAGGCTGAATGGACTTATTTTGAAATTATGACAAGGTGTCATATGGCTACTTTTTTTTTTTTTTTTTTTTTTTTTTTTTTTTTTGGTTTTTGAGACACGTTCTCACTATGTAGTTGAGACTGACCTGGAACTCACTATGTAGCCCAGGCTGGTCTCGAACTCACAGGGATCCTCCTGCCTCAGCCTCCCGAGTGCTGGGATTACAGGCAATCACCACCAAGCTCAGCCTCATATTTTGCTCCCAAATAAGCACATTCATCTTCTAGCCTGTTCTTTTCTTCTTAAGCACTTGTTGCAGTTTGAATTTTGTCTCCCTCGTATTAATACGTTGAATTCCTAACTCTCAGAATATGACCTTGTTTGGAAGGGTCATTATGGTTGTAATTAACAAAGGTCACAGGAGTGAGTCCTGGTCCATTGGTGTCCTTATAAAGTGGAGAAATTTGAATGCACACAGGAAGAATGAATTTTGCGGAGGAAAGCAGAGACTGGGGAAATGCTTCTTCAAGCCAAGGAATGGCAAAGATTGCTAGCCAACCACTAGAAGCTAGAGGGGCCTGGAGCAGATTCTTCCTCAGTGCCCTTGAAGGACCAACTCTGCCAACACCTGCCTCTCAGACTTCTAGCTCCTGAAACTGGTAGACAGTAAATTTTGGCTGTTCAGGCCGTGTGATTTGTAGTATAATTACATTACACTGTTCCTACCTTCTCTAACTTCAAGCTTTCAGTATTGCCTCCCTGTCCTTACCCTGTTGCATCCTTCACTGAGTAAGATGGAAACAACCAGAAGCTCCAGCCCAGCCTAACCTGGTGTGTAGGAGCCTGAATAAGCGGTGCTCTTTTCTAGTGAAAGCCTGTATGGATCCTGAGATGCCCTCCCCATTCTCTTTCGTAAGGATGTGACCCCCGTTGTTTTCTCTTTTTATCCGTTTCCCCTTCTCTACTGGATGGAAACATAAAAATCTGGATATTTTTTCCCATTCTCTCTTGAAAGATTCTTCAAGAAGACGTTGAATGTTCTCTCGGTTCTCAGTCCCCTACCCTCTGCCACCTTTCACGGTGCTCCCCTTTGCCACACAGCTCCTTGAAGAAGTTGCTCCTATTTATTGTCTTTGATTTCTTTCTTCCACTCCTGTCAGGCTGTCTGCCCTAAGAATGCAAGGAAATTTCTCTTTTCAAGTCACCCGTGATTTCCATGCTAAAAAGTCTTTATATAGTATTTAACTTCCTGTGACATCTGACAGAGTTGGTCAGCCTTTTCCTCCTGAAAACAATCTCTTCTGTGGGCTTCCTGGGAAAAACCAAGTACCATTAT